ATTCCCAAGTTAACTTGAAGATGGGTGGACTTCAACTCCCAGAATTCTCCAACCAGTTTGAAGATGGATGGACTTCAACCGGGGGTGGGATTCTACCTGTTCGGTAGAAACGGTTGTTACAATTCTGCACGGTTCGAAGAATCGGCAAATCATGTCCCTGGCTGGCCCCACCCCTCTCCGCCCAGTCAGTCCTTACAGTATTTTTTTCCTCCTGACAATCAGCTGTTTTTGATAATCAGCTGATCATCCCCCTCGCTGTCTTACTGCTTCACCCAGGGGGCTATCCTGAGGCCCAGGAGGCAAAAAAAAATGGAGTGGGGGGGAAGTGTGCAGCAAAAAACAAAAGGAAGAAGCCACACCCACCCAGTCACATGGCCACACCCACCTAGCCATTCCCACCTACCCACACCCACAGAACCGGTAGTAAACATATTTGCATCCCACCCCTGACTTCAAGTCCCAGAATTCCCCAACCAGCTTTAAGATGGGTGGACTTCAACTCTCAGAATGCTGGGGAATTTGGGGAGTTGGTCCACACCTTCAAGTCACCAAGGTTGAGAAACATCCGCTCCACCACAAATTCGATAAGCTGGCATCAAGAATCATGCTGCAGCCAACGGGGGATTGAGGTGCCTAGTTAAACCTTTTGTGCAAACCCTCTTTCAAACTGGGATTGAAAAGTAGGGAAAACGTGGGTGGTTGTTTGAGGGCGATGGGTGTTGGAATACCCCAACAGGAGCCTGCATGCTGCAAATTACAAAGGCATCTGATAAACAAGCAAAATCATTGCTTTGTGCCAGTGTGGTTGCGTTGATTGTGTGGGAGGACAATGCATGTTTGTGCATATTCACACACCCTGCCTGCCTGCCTGCCTCTCAGTATGCGCAGCCTCAAATTATAGCTTATTTTTATGTTATTGTAGGCGGTTGTAGTAAGGGGGTAGACAATGCGGGTTTCAAGAGATTCTTAGTGACTGGTAGAAATTGCACAAGGTTGGATTTCACTCAATGCCCACAAAATATTTTATCAGTAGAGGCCAAACATGTTTTGATCCAGCAGTTTGTTAATGGTGTGTGATGATGAGAATGTTAATGGTGATGAGAACTTTAACAATGGGAGGGAAAACAGCCCATCCTTAACTATTAAGAAGGTTGAAGCCAAATTATCATTATTTCATCCTATGCACAGAACTATGGAAAGACACTACCGAGACTACAACCTCTCTCATCATAAAATGCTTCTAATCACTCGGGCAAACCAAGAAAGAAAAGAAAAAAAGAGAAGAGGAGAAGAGAAGAGAATAGGAAAGGAGAAGGGAAGAGAAAAGAAGAGAAGAGAAAAGGAATAGAATAGAATAGAATAGAATAGAATAGAATAGAATAGAATAGAATAGAATAGAATAGAATTCTTTATTGGCCAAGTGTGATTGGACACACAAGGAATTTTTTTTGGTGCAAATGCTCTCAAGATACATCAAGAATCATAGGTATAACACTTAGAAGTAGTCATAGGGTACTTTAAATCATACTAGGAAATATATATATATATAGGAAACATACAAATCATGCTAGGAAACAAGAATAAGCTAGGGCCTATCAAATCATTCGGAGAAGAGAAGAAAGGAAGAAAAGAGGAAAGGAAAAGGGAAGAGAAGAGAAAATATAAAGGCAGGAGGGAAGAAGGAAGGCATGTTACAAAGAAGGGAGGAAAGGGAAAGGGAGAGAGAAA